AGGGATTATTGGGAGTCCAGTGTTAGATTACCTGGGGCTTGTTAATTGAACTTCAGAGGCTTTAGTGAGCAACTGGCTCCAGCAGGGAGCAGTGCTTTGGTATTAACAGTGTTATATAAATGAATATAATGTAACATAACATAATGCCCCCACAGCATGTCACACCTCAGCTCCCAGTGCAGGGGTGAACCTGCTGCCTAGCTTGTAGAAACACAGGGATAGGAGAGCCAAGAGGGAGTAAATAATGGGTAGAGTAATAGGAGTCAGGACTGGTTTTAGGTTTGGGAGGGGAGTGTTTTATAGTGGTTATAACATGGGATTCAGAGTTATATTGCTGACTCGGTCTCTAATTCATTGTTTGACACTGTGGAAGTCACTTAGGGTCCAATTTTGAGAAGTGCTGAGCACCATTAATTCCAAGAGGAGTCAATAGGAGCAGTGAGTGCTCAGAATATCTGAAAATCAGGCCCTTAACTTCTTGTTAGGCTTAATTAATGTATGTTTGTAAAGTGCTTTGAGATCCTAAGTTGAAAGGTCTATAAAAGAGCAAGGGGCTCTCTAATCATTGTCACCTACAGCATATACTCACAGAAACTCAGACAGGCTCAACTGCGAAGGCTCCAAGGCCCAGTGGAAATGAGAAACCTCATCGGCTATGAAAATTTCATCAGCTGGCGCTGAGGAAGCAAGAATCTGGAAACACAGAGCAGATGGGCAGCCTGGATTCTTGGAGCCATTGTTCTTCTGCCTGTTATCTGACTCCAGCGCAGAGAGAGGATGTTGAGAATTTATGGAGGCACAAGTATTGAAGGCTTTCTTGAAATATCCCTGGCTGACGCATGGCCCAGGGCAGCAGGCACACACCGGGTGTGATTCAGACGTTCTAGCTTCTCCCCAAGCACAACAATCTCAAGGTCATGGAAGCAGAACTCTGCCGAATCCCTGTCTTCAGCTGTGAGAGAAGAGAATCTGTCTGAGGGTTCAGCAGCACTGTGAGCTAATATGCCAGCCTTTCACCACTTGGATGTGGACCTGGCAGGGTCACAGAGGAAGTAAGTTTAGAGGTCTCATCCAAATACCTGGAGGGCTTTTTCCAACTTAAAAAATCTCATCTCAGTTTGGCTCAGTCCATTTGCCCTGCTCAGTAGATGCTCAGGACTGAAAAAGAACAGGGGTGGGAAGGGCTGCTGTACAGGAGTGAGGGACAATGGGCAGAATTCTATCTGGTCTAAAATTGAAATAGCTTCAGGTCAGGATTCAGAGAGCTTGAGGGTGGGGCGGAGGACTAGAATAGCAGGGGGTTGCAGGTGAGGAGTGAGGGTTACTGGTGGTAGTCCCACAGTTTTAACAGGCCTTGCTCACATTCTGTCTGCCTCTATCCATTCTCCTCAGTCCCTGCACTTTTAGGAGACCACAGTTCTCCTACAGCTCTTGTTAAGTGGATTTTTCCACTCTCCACCTATCTCTTTCCCTCCCCACTTGGTCCCACATGCAGGTTAGAATCCTCTGTTTATAGCATTATAACATAGCAACAGACTATGATGTGCCCCAGGACTAAGTCTGACGTGCAGCCTTCTGGGGAGGGGAGACAGGATTTTTGTTGGGAATTAGTTACATAACAAGGGTAAGATGCTCTCGGCCCAGGCATCTGCTAAAGCGACACAGTTGGGAAATATCTGAGGCAGAATTGCTTCTTGTTCTTGCGATGAAGGCCAGAGTGCCCTGCATTCAGCAAGGAAAAGACTCCTGCATGTACATAGAAAGAAAAGGAGTACTTGTGGCACCTTAGAGACTAACCAATTTATTTGAGCATAAGCTTTAGTGAGCTACAGCTCACTTCATCTTTTTGCGAATACAGACTAACACGGCTGTTACTCTGAAACCTGCATGTACATGCGAGTCATAGCTTCAGTGCCTTAGATTCTGCTTGTGATACCATCCAGGACTACAACCCTACTGTAACAGAATCATATCTCTGTGTCATGGCCTCCCATTCAATTGATTTATGGACCCTCGCAGCATCCCTAATGTGAGCCCCATCTCTGAGATGGGAAAAGGCCAAGGGGCCAAAGCAGAAAGGAACCGCCTCCTTCAGGTTGTTTTAGTGACGCTGAATTCCCCTCCCCCACCAGGAAGCAGGGCCTCTAGGGCAGGGCTAAGGTAGTCACAGGGCGGTGGAGATGGGGGGTGGAAGTCTGGGGAGGGACTCTGAGCAAACACGTGCTCTGAACTGCCCCTCATCCAGGGTGGGGAAGCCAATTAGAGGAGGTGGAGCATCCTGGCCGCGCCCCAGTGTCCCGGATGCTGTGTAGTTGTCGCTGTGTTAGCCCCAGGATGTTAGAGAGACAAGGTGGTAAGACCTTTTAAAAAGAAAAGGAGTACTTGTGGCACCTTAGAGACTAACCAATTTATTTGAGCATGAGCTTTCGTGAGCTACAGCTCACTTCATCAGATGTTTACCGTGGAAACTGCAGCAGACTTTATATACACACAGAGAATATGAAACAATACCTCCTCCCACCCCACTGTCCTGCTGGTAATAGCTTATCTAAAGTGATCAACAGGTGGGCCATTTCCAGCACAAATCCAGGTTTTCTCACCCTCCACCCCCCACACAAATTCACTCTCCTGCTGGTGCTAGCCCATCCAAAGTGACAACTCTTTGCATAATCAAGTCGGGCTATTTCCTGCATAGATCAAGGTTTTCTCACATCCCCCCACCCCCATACACACACAAACTCACTCTCCTGCTGGTAATAGCTCATCTAAACTGACCACTCTCCAAGTTTAAATCCAAGTTAAACCAGAACATCTGGGGGGGGGGGGGGGTAGGAAAAAACAAGAAGAAACAGGCTACCTTGCATAATGACTTAGCCACTCCCAGTCTCTATTTAAGCCTAAATTAATAGTATCCAATTTGCAAATGAACTCCAATTCAGCAGTTTCTCGCTGGAGTCTGGATTTGAAGTTTTTTTGTTTTAAGATAGCGACCTTCATGTCTGTGATTGCGTGACCAGAGAGATTGAAGTGTTCTCCAACTGGTTTATGAATGTTATAATTCTTGACATCTGATTTGTGTCCATTTATTCTTTTACGTAGAGACTGTCCAGTTTGACCAATGTACATGGCAGAGGGGCATTGCTGGCACATGATGGCATATATCACATTGGTGGATGTGCAGGTGAACGAGCCTCTGATAGTGTGGCTGATGTTATTAGGCCCTGTGATGGTGTCCCCTGAATAGATATGTGGGCACAATTGGCAACGGGCTTTGTTGCAAGGATAAGTTCCTGGGTTAGTGGTTCTGTTGTGTGGTATGTGGTTGTTGGTGAGTATTTGCTTCAGGTTGCGGGGCTGTCTGTAGGCAAGGACTGGCCTGTCTCCCAAGACTTGTGAGAGTGTTGGGTCATCCTTTAGGATAGGTTGTAGATCCTTAATAATGCGTTGGAGGGGTTTTAGTTGGGGGCTGAAGGTGACCGCTAGTGGCGTTCTGTTATTTTCTTTGTTAGGCCTGTCCTGTAGTAGGTAACTTCTGGGAACTCTTCTGGCTCTATCAATCTGTTTCTTTACTTCTGCAGGTGGGTATTGTAGTTGTAAGAAAGCTTGACAGAGATCTTGTAGGTGTTTGTCTCTGTCTGAGGGGTTGGAGCAAATGCGGTTGTATCGCAGAGCTTGGCTGTAGACGATGGATCGTGTGGTGTGGTCAGGGTGAAAGCTGGAGGCATGCAGGTAGGAATAGCGGTCAGTAGGTTTCCGGTATAGGGTGGTGTTTATGTGGCCATTGTTTATTAGCACTGTAGTGTCCAGGAAGTGGATCTCTTGTGTGGACTGGACCAGGCTGAGGTTGGTGGTGGGATGGAAATTGTTGAAATCGTGGTGGAATTCCTCAAGGGCTTCTTTTCCATGGGTCCAGATGATGAAGATGTCATCAATATAGCGCAAGTAGAGTAGGGGCTTTAGGGGACGAGAGCTGAGGAAGCGTTGTTCTAAATCAGCCATAAAAATGTTGGCATACTGTGGGGCCAGGCGGGTACCCATAGCAGTGCCGCTGATCTGAAGGTATACATTGTCCCCAAATGTAAAATAGTTATGGGTAAGGACAAAGTCACAAAGTTCAGCCACCAGGTTAGCCGGGACATTATCGGGGATAGTGTTCTTGACGGCTTGTAGTCCATCTTTCTGTGGAATGTTGGTGTAGAGGGCTTCTACATCCGGAGACCAGCTTCTGGTGGGGAGTGAGACGAGCCTCCCAGCGTCACAGCGAAGCGTCACAGCGAACTGGAAGGCGGAAGAGATAGTTTAGCCTAAGTAGTTCGCACATGTTGTAAGGGACCATTCAAGGCAGAGCGGCCCCTTAACCCCCCTGCAGTCATAGGACAAACAGGGGGTTACAGAGTGTGGCTCTCTCCAGGGCTGGCCTTACCATGAGGCAAACTGAGGCGCCCGCCTCAGGTGCCAGACTGGGGTGGGGGGGGCGTCATTTGAACTCCCCGCCTCAGGTGCCAAAACGTGGTGGGCCGGCCCTAGCTCGCTCACCCACAGAAGCTGGCCCAATAAAAGCTATCGCCTCGCCCGCGACCACCTCCCCTCCCCTCCCCGGGGCCGGGTCCCTGACACCTGGCAGATGCTTGTGAACGCGGGACAGCCCAGCTCGGTGAGCTGCTCCCGGCCAGGGCTTGTCTCCATGGGGCAGCCCCAGCAGCCCCCCGTTACGCGGTGACTCCGGTGTCACCAGCCCGTGGGCAGCGGACGCTTCTGCGCTGCCCACACCGGCGCAGTCCTGTGCCGAGCTGCACTTCAGGGGGCGTCTACACAGCAACCCGCCGCCGCCGCGAGTCTCAGCTCGGGACTCGCCCGACGAGGAGCGCGCAGGCTCTGCCCCCTCCCGTTGCCATGGTGATCTACCACGCGCCTCTCTTCCTCCGCCGTGCGTGACCCCCTCCCCCCCTCGATGACGCACCTACGCCGCTGCGTGGGGATTCCGCCGGATTACCCAGCGAACCCCGCAGCAAAATGGTGGCCTAAGCGGAGCGCGCGGGGCCGGGCCGAGCGGGGGCAAAGTTTGGGGCGGGCCCGAGACAGAACCGAACCGGGTCAGAACCGGCTGTAAAGTCCCCGGGAGTCCGGGAGGAGCGGAGCCTGACTGGTTCCGAGCCAGTCCGGGACCCTGGGGGGTTGAGGGAGCCCAGCCAGGTCAGAACCGAGTCCGGGGCGGGAAGGGGGCCCAACCGGGCCGGCACCGTACCCGGCTTCGAGCGCCCGGGTCCCAGCTGGGTCAGAGCCGGTCTGGGATAGGGCCCAGCCTGGCCAGGTCAGAGCTCCGCCAGAGCGCCCCATCCGGGTCAGATCCGAACCGGGACTCGCGAGAAAGGGAGGAGTTCGGCTCTGCCCCCAGCTTGTCGCCCTCGGGCTAAAGGGGAGGGAAACGGGCAGAACTAGATGTAAAGTCACATTGGTGTTGGGGGAGTTGGGCCCAACCCGGTCAGAACAGAACTGGGAGACGTGAGCCCAGGGAGGAAAACTATCAGAGCCAGACAATCACCGCTGGGCTGCAGGGGCCAGTACAGGCCAGTACTGAATTGGGGACAGAAGAGGTGTATGGGTCAGGAACTGAGTCCTGGAGGGGAAGAGAGTGGAACTGAGCCAGTTTAAACCCAGTTGAGTCTGGAAATCGAGGAAGACAGATCCCAGAACTGAACTGGGTCTGCTTGTGGGCCAGAGAGGTCTAAACTAAGTTTGAATGGAACCAGATCCTTATGGAGTGAAACATGGGGAGCAATGTGTATTTTGGGGAGAGACCGTGATAGCCACAACAAGAGGGCTTTGGAATTGGAAATGAAGTGAAGCAAATTTGAGACAGTTTGTGTTATCTGTGTTGAAGAAGTCAGAGTAGGGGAGAGGGAACAACACTGTTTCTGTGGCAAAGCAGAAGGTCGGGGAGGAGAGAGGATCATTTACCAACTAGAGACCCTCCCTGGCACCAGGCAGCATCCAAGAGACTTTCTGGAAGAAAGTTAGTGAATCTGAACAGATCGCAAGAAAAAGGAAAGTTTAGAGAACAGCAGAGCTGAGCAGATGATACTGAACCACATCTGGATGTGGTCTAGAGTGTGAGTGGGAGACAACGGAGTAGGAAAGAAGTGAAAGGTTGAGCACTGGCACCGGGATTTGTAAACGGAAGAGGAAAAAAAATTTCCAACTGAAATTGCATTAATAGGCAAAAGGGTGAGTGAGTGAGCTGTGAGTTTCTCTGAGCTGGGAATGGACCAGGTCTGAGAGAGGCCAGCTGGAGTGAGTCCACTGAAAAGACAGCCCCGCAAAATGAGACTGCTTCTTGCCTGACAGGGCTTCTCAAAGCTGCAGATCTGTATTTTGCAGAATCAGTCCAGAGACAGAACTGATGAAAAGGGTCTGCAGAGGAGGAGGAAGTGAATCCCTTGGATACAAACAGCAGAGAGCAGGTAAGGAAGCCAGGAAAGAGGTGATGCTACATCAGAGCACACTCTGCTTTTCAATCCTGAAATCCCAGAGTGCAAATGTGTGAGTCGCATACCTAGCAAATGGTCCATCTGTAGGTCCTCCATGCTAGGGCATCCTCCTTGTCATATTAGGTCCATGTTATGTAAAGCGGGCCCAAGGTGAGATGGTAGATGGAGAAATGGTAACTGCAGGGTGCTAATAAGAGAGATTGGGAGTTTCTGGGTAGAATTCAAGATTAGCCACTAGGCAGAATAACTTAACTTGAACCAGGGCAGTACCAGTGTTCTTTGTGCCTCATGAAATGAGCACTTTAAAGCCCCCTTTTTCAGTGCTGAAGTAGCTGTGGATATAGCTCCTGAAATGAGTCAATGTGGACTGGGTCCAGGGAGCGCTGGAGCTATCCCAGCCTAATTAAAAAAAGGTCTGTCCCGCTGGAGCTGCACAGACAAATCCTCAGGATCTCTTTCATCCCTGGTCTGATCTTAAAATGTGGATTGACCTAGCAATTCACACCCCTGAGCACTGTTGCTGAGCCGCCCAAACCCCCAGTGTAGATGCAGCTAGGTTGATGGAAAAACTCCTCCTGTCAGTGGAGGAAGTTTCTACACTACGGCTCTGCAGTGGCATAGCTGAAGCTGTGCTACCATAGCACCCATAGTGCAGACATGGCCTCTTGTGATAATTGTGATGTCTCAAATTAGGTAATTTTAGTAATTCCCTAATCTGCTAGGTAATTCCTTCTAGTAAATTATCCTTTGCATCTATGTTTTAGATGCTCTAATGCCAAGGCAAGTGCATGTCTGAGCTTGCCTGCAGTGGGGTAAGGAATGTGTGGAGATCAAGATGGGATGTTCCATTTTATGTTTTTTTTTTACTTGTGCTGCCCTTCCTCACTCCTTTTCCCCTTGAGTCACTTTCAGTGTAAACTTCCTTTCCGTTTCTACCTGTCACTGAATCTGTACAGAAAGTATTGGGTACCTGTACTTAAACGGTGTTCTGTGCATACCAGATTCAGAGTGTAAGGTCAGCATTTAATCTCACTGGTGTAGCCTGCAGCATCAGGAGTCCTTTCTCTGCTTTTAGCTCTCCTTATAGGCAGCCATGTGGCTCATATAATATACAGGGAACACACTCGGGGTTGCTAAATGTGGCCTATAGAGTTCCACAATGCAGCCTGTGGCTACTCTCATCTTTAATATCACCGAGCCACTTGGTGATCAAGAGGGGATCTTACTTCTGGGATCTGTTGCCTCTGTATCAAAGATGCATTGCAGACTTCTACATACTGTGTTGAGTAGTTGTGGCTCTCTGCTAGTTGCTTGTTTTGCAGATTTCAAACCCTGAAGTATGTATGATAACACCCATTTTTTCATGTTCTGTGTGTATATAAATCTCCTCACTGTATTTTCTACTGAATGCATCCGATGAAGTGAGCTGTAGCTCACGAAAGCTTATGCTCAAATAAATTGGTTAGTCTCTTAAGATGCCACTAGTGCTCCTTTTCTTTTTGCGAATACAGAATAACACGGCTGCTACTCTGAAACCTATCTTTTTCCTGTCTTCCTAAATGGCAGCTGGCACAGAGTATAAAAGGGCCCTGGAGTTTGGGAAGGGTGTGCTTTTCATCAAGGATCTGCCCCTTGTATTCAGGGTGGGTAACTGATGCAACACACTTCGGCATGGTGGTGGGTATCCTCTGGAGAGTGTGTGGTATATGGAGCTGCATGTAATATAGGATTGTGGCAGTTGGCCTTCCTTGCCTTATGGGTGCTTTTAAGGGTGGAGCAAGGACAATCAGCTCAGTAATGGCAGAATAAATGGAATCGACTAAAACCATGATTGTGCTTTACCCAGTGGCCCTAACTAGCAGGTCACATGCTTCATAATTTGTGCAAGATGAGATTATTACACACACTGGGGGCTTCTTACATCCCTCCTTTTGCCCCCACAACTCCTTGTCTGCCTTCCTGTCCCCTCTATTTCGGGGACTCCCTGCAAAGCCCCCTAACTCCTTCTTCATGCTTTGGCCTGTTAGTGTCCCACATTTTCTCCTTACCACCACAGCAGGGGTTTTCTGTTCCCCTCCATTTTCTCCTGTGTTATGTGACAACATCTCCCAATATCCCCTCATGCCAGTGGTTCTATGTGCACCCCATTCTCATGTGCCCCCTGTGCTAGGGGCTCTGTGTTCCTGTTCCCCTCTCCCCATACTGGGGTCCACCAGTCTCTCCCTGCCTTGTGTTCTGTGTGCCCCATTTCTCCCTCCCCCATATCAGGGACCCCAATTTCCTCTCCAAACCAGGAGCGCTGTGGGCACTCCCATTTCCCTTTCCCCCACACCATTATTCTTCTTTCTGTCTGTGAGATGTCATTTAGGGTGTTAACATGTTAAACTCTGTTGGGAGGGTAGGAAGATATGAAATAGGGGTATTGTTGTCTTAATGCGTGCTATCAACCAGTAGTTTGATCTGTACACAGTTGCAGAGGTGCTTGAAGCTGTGGCTGTGCTAGTCAGATGGCTGGGGCTTCGTGTGTCCCCCATTTCCCTCCTTCGGTTTTCTGATTTTCTCCAGAATCAATAGGGTTCTGGCCATTGATACCTAGAACATTCCTTGAAATGTTGGAGTTGATCAGTTTCAGAGTTCAAAAGTTATTGCATTACAGATAAACAGAAATGTTGTTGAGTTGAGTAAGGCCTTCACAAGCTCGGCCAAAGACTCTTCCATTCAAAGTAAACTTGGTGCCTGAGAGCCCTGGAGATTGGCATTGTGTATCAGGAGGTGCAGCCTGGGTAGCAGCAGGTGGGCTTCCGGTCCTGATAATATGCCTTACTCATTTTTAGGGAAAGGGCATTTAAAGTCGTTGTGGGGACTCCATTTGTTTCCGCACTTCAAACATTGCTGCATGGGACAATTCTGTAGGGCAGGGTCACAGCCAATCCACATATTGCTTCCTCAGCAGCAGAGGGCTAGCACTGTCAGTAGTATGCGTGATGAGAATTGCCAAATACGGGTCCAGTTCCCTCTGCCATTGCTGCTTCTGCCGTACTGTATGCAGGAGACCCGCAGGCACAGTCAGTTGTTAGATGGAGTTGGGGTGGAGCAAAGGGAGGATGTCCACCACAAGAAGGGGGACTTATCTTGTATTCTTGTTGGCAGGACTGAGGCTGGAATTGTCACGAGGGGGCAGATATGTTAATGTTAGTGACTCCCAGCCCCCATCTCCACACCTGAAGGTTTTGTGGCTTCTGCCCTTCAGATACAAATTAAGATGCCTGAATAGGACAGTTCAGTCTGTCACAGTCATGCTTTTGATTCTTGGCCTCTACTCAGACTACTTGCGAGGCTTCAGTTAGTGCCAAATATGTTATGGATACCTCTTCACTATGGATGGGAGTGAACTGAACCCCCTCCCAAAGTGATATCATCCAGGGACCAACAAAGAGCTGCGAATGTAGATTTCTCCCAACTTGGCCAGTGCCACAAAGGTGAAATCATCAGTCCTTTTCCCTGAGCCAGTACCTCTGCATAAAGTCTGCTGTTTTATCCAAGACAGATTTGTAACTGCATTGGAGGAATGTTACTTTTCTCAGGTGAAGTATCTTTATAGACTGGATTGAGAGGAAGGATGATCTTGTGGTCAGGGCACTGGCCTGGGACACAGGAGAACTATGTTTTGTTTTTGGCTCTGCACAGATTTATCGTGTGAACTTGTGAAAGACACTGCCTCCCTTTGCCTCCTTTTCTCAGCTACATATAGGGTTAATACTGCTCCCTAGTGAGGTGGAATTGAGGGGGTTGAGCACCTCCATTAGTGCTTGTGTGGTGCTTAGACGCTTCGGAGATGAACACCATAGAAATACCTACAAATAAATAAATTTAACTAAGGTGTGACTGGCCTGATGCTCAGAATGAAGGAGGAACTCGTGTGGTCCACTATCCTGCATGCTCTGTGGAGTTATGAAATTGCTGTAAAACGGCCTAAGTTACACCCCTGTTCTATTTAAAGGAGGAGGGCATTCTAAGAAAGCCCCTAGCGTCTCTGATCTGTACATTTGTTTCCACTGTTCACATGCTCTCTTGTATGGCTGTGTCTTTACACATGACTCAAATTTCCTCCTCTCCTTTCTACCCCTTCCTCACGTTTAGACTTGGAAACTATTCTCTTGTTTGCCAGCATGTCAATGTACTTTCTTATTGCTAATGTGCTCAGACAGGGATGCCCCAGAAGCAGCAGCTCACAGTCTATCTTGTGTCTGGAATGACATGATACACTCTGGAGTGTCTTACTGGAAGTTATGCTTAGTGGATTGCTAAGGCTTTCCAAACTGCTATGAAGGCATAGCCCCAGGGGGGTGTGAGTCCCATAATGCCAGGGTGGGAATGAAGAGTTACTTGGAATGCTTTATTCATATCACTTGCATCAGCTCTGTATTCCTGGCCCTGTCCAGTGCTAGGTGTTGAGTCCTGGAAGGCTCCATATGAGAAGTTAAAGTGACTGACTGTATTTTTCAGTTAAATGGAAAGAAATTCAATGAAGCTGATAGGCAACATATTTAATACTGGTTTAAAAAATACTTTCACACAATGCATAGTTAATCTGTGAAACTCACTACCACATAATAGCATTAGGGCTAAGAGTTTACCAGGATTCAGAATGGATCTGACATTTAAATGAATGAGAAGGTCCAGAGATTTACTTTTGTTATAATATATGTATTTTAAATGGAATTATTACTCTTGTGCTTCAGCACATAAACCAACTCTAAATGCTGAGGTTTACAAGGAGGAGGAAGAAGGTATTCCATAGCTGCCCACTATGATTTTCTTGCATCTTCTTCTGAAGCATCTAGTACTTGGCAGTGTCAGAGGCAATATCCTGAATCAAATGGACCCCGTGTCTGATCCAGCCTGGCAGTTCCTCAGAGGTACAGTACATCTTTGCCCTGTCACATTGCCTGTTAAATCTTCCTCTTTATGAT